AGTTAAAAACTGCTACTTCCAGCAGTTACAGAACTATCCTAAGGTGATGACTCTACATAAAAATCTTCGTAATGTAATAATGTATAATTACTAAAATATGCAAATCATCATCAGATTCCTAATTATGTTTGATGAAATGGGCAGTCAACTGAAAACATTAAAAGCATTTTTATAAATAATTTAAGGAATGGCCTGAATGGTAGTTAGGGCTTTGGATTCCACGTTGAACTGTAGGTTTCGATCTAATTAGCCTAAAATGTGCATAATATGACTGTAGAGCCACAAAACAAACCTCTCGTATTTGTGTCCTTGTTCTGTTAACGCGTGCTAAAATTAATCATAATTCTGAAACAAGTAATATAAAATAAAAAAAAATTTTTAAGTCAATTCCTTTTTTTTTCACTCTATTGCAGAAAGTCCTTTATTTATAAAGGACTTTCTGCAATAGAATGAAAAAAAATAATTAAAAATAATAATTGAGTTATAAATAATGTTCATTCATTTTTTAAATTTATCTGGCACCATCTATTGGTAGATATATGCAACTCAAATCTGAAAAGAAACTAAAATGAATTAATTAAATTTAATTACTGAATTAATATATAAAAAAATTGCATTAACATCAGTGTCATCCACTACAAGTTAAAAAAAAGGGTATTTGAACTTGAGTGGATGAATAAAAGTATTTTATGAACGATTGAAAAATTTGAACACGATATATATAGGGAGAGTGTGAGCTAATAGAAGGAATTGAAAAAGAACACTGTGTTCCTTTTATCAATTGCTCACTTCAATTTATATTAACTTTCATCTCTTATTTAACATTTAAATGGTACACTAGTTGTTAAGAACCTGGGAAAATACATATAATTTCAAACATTTGCTTTCTCAATTAGCAGAAAGTCCTTTATAAATAATGTTCATTCATTTTTTTAAGTTTATCTGGCACCATCTATTGGTAGATATATGCAACTCAAATCTAAAAAAAAAAAAACTAAAATTAATTAATTAAATTTAATGAATGAATTAATATTTGAAAAACTGTATTGTGGAGCCATTTATAATTTGTCTTTAAGCTCGAGGGCTCCGCTGCGGATAACAATTTTCAGTTTTTAACATAAGAACAAAAAAAATCTTAAAAATTAAATCTTAATAGGGGGTGTTGGTCACAAATGACGATCGCGGATTCATTCATTTTTTGTAAGATTATCTGGCGCCATCTATTGGTAGATATATGCAATTTAATTCTAAAAAAAAAACTAAAATTAATTAATTAAATTTAATTACTGAATTAATATTTGAAAAAAAACTGTATTAACATCAAAGTGTCATCCACTACAAGTTCAAAAAATATGTATTTGAACTTGAGTGGATGAATAAAAAGTATTTTATGTATGATTGAAAATTTGAACAAGATATATATAGGGAGAGTGTGAGCTAATAGAAGGAATTGAAAAGCATTATTATTTTGGCTTGCAACGTATTGTTGTTGTTATTTCATATCCAACTTGGTCGGCCAAGCCCACGAACCCATACGTACTCATGATTAAAGGGGAAGAAAGCAGCTTCTGTTGTGATGGAGCAGCCGTAGGTAGAAGTCTGACTTTGGCTCCGTGACGCTCGTACAGTCATAGGAGACCGAGACCTACGGCTCAGTGGATTCGGAACCACTACAAGCATCCATGGCACCTCAGGATTCGAACCCGAAACCTGTGGCACCAAGCGCCAGAGCGCTAGACACTCGGCCATTCAGGTCCCCCATAAATTTGTGAATGCCAACGGCACGCGGTGCTTCCCAGGTGGTCAAACAGTATGACCACCCAATGATGCTTGACTTCGGTGATCTGCGAGAACCGGTATATTCAGCATGGCCGTTGGCATGTTGACCATGGTATTGTTGATGATGAATGAAGTGGTTTATGGGGGGATGTGAAGCAACAAGGACTATAATCTCCTAATGACTATATATATATGAACAGTTAGTTTTTACTTATTTTTTAATATGTCACTCTCCACAGCACTCTACGATCGTGTTTAGACCGGGACCTACGGTTTTAAAGTGGATTCGAACCACTACAAACATCCATGGCACCGCCGGGACGCGTTGAAACCTGTGGTACCGAGCGCCACAGCGCTAGCCACTCGGCCATTTAGGCCCCATGATATTGTTGTTGTGAGACCCATATGTCGACAAACAACGATATATCATTACTTCATATCGTTTCACAGATATTTCATTCGATGTTTCTCAGTATTCAAACATTGGCAAAGAGTTAGGAGTGATTTATTTCTTATAGTCATCTACTCTCCGGAATCTTTTCACGGTTATTAAAAGGAATACGTTTTTAGCGATAATGGCAGCGACGTAAGATATCCTAATCTCGAAGGCGCTGGCGACGAATCAGAGGATTATACACTCAAGAGCCAAAACATTATGACCACGAGCTGGCCCACCCTTGGCGCGCAACACAGCTTCAACCCGCCTTGGCATGGATTAATACCGCCACTTAATACCATTTAAATACCACTTCCACCTGATTGCGTGCCTTCCACGTCATCCAGGCGAGTTCATTGCAAAATTAGGGGTTCTAATGTTTTTTGGCTCTTGACTGTAGTTCTAATTTAATCTCCAAACGGAATGCACTGAATTTTCTAAAATACAATTATTATGAAATGAATTTTTAAAAAATTATAAATAAAAAGTTCATAAAATTTATTGATCGTAATTTTAACAATGCATATTTTTAAATTTTTGAAGCCCATTTGGTTATATTTGAGCGAAAGATTTTTAAGGTCCATTCTTAGAGAAAGAAAAGGAGAAGGATTGTTGCAGAAGACGGTACAACGCAGAAATTTAAAATTCTATAACGATATTAAATATTAATACCGATAGATAATTGAACTTCTCGTGTATTTAGAATGAAAATGATTTAAACCCGATAAAAACGTTCATTTTGGCAAAGCCACAGAGACAAAGAGGACGATCCAAGTTGAGATGGATAGTCGCAGATGAAAAGGATTTTACTGTATTAAAGGTTAAGAATTGGAGGACCATTGTCTCCCCAATGCATGGAAAACTCTTTAAAGGAAAGCCTTGGCCCACTCTGGGCTATCTCGCTATTGATGATGATACTATTTTCAATTGTTTCAAAAAAAAAAACAATGCTTTAAAACGGAATTGTACTTTTTAAAAAATTAAGCTTGTCCTTTAAGTAATAGGTGGACTGAAAAGTTCGTAGGCTAACACATAAATGGCGCTACTAGTATTAAAGCCATATGATTTTTCGTTAGCCCTAACCCTTCAAAAGACGCGTGTATAAATTTGACAGCTGTTGCACCATTAGTATGTGATTTATAGCATTTTTAGTGTTCATCACGTGCAGTCCACTCGGCTGACTGTCGATTGGACTCCGGTGTAAAAATGATGGAGCCATGTTTCATCCATTGTCCCATATCGACGCAAAAATTCTGGTTTATTACGATTGAACAGCTCCACACACTGCTTAGAATCATCAATTCGTTGTTGTTTTGGGTCGATTGTGAGCTCTGCGCGGCACCCACTTTGAAAGAGCTTTCGCATATGCAAATATTCATTCACGATATGTCCAACACGTTCCTTTGATATCTTTAAGGTCTCAGCTATCTCAATCAACTTCACTTTACGGTTATCAGAAATTATTTTGTGGACTTTTTTGATGTTATCGTCGGTAACAGCCTCTTTGGGGCGTCCACTGCGTGCATCGTCCTCGGTGCTCATTTCGCCTCGTTTAAAAATTTAGCAAACCACTTCCCTACGGTTTATTTTCCCGGTGCAATGTCAGAATAATGTTTAGCAAGCCAAGCATTGGCTTCAATAGTTGTTTTTTTTTGCCCCAAAAAGCAATGCTTTAATTAACACACGAAATTACCTTTTTTATCCATTTTTCAAACTAATAAAAATTGCTTCACTAAAAAGCTATAACTCACATACTAACAGTTCAAAAGCTGTCAAATTTATACACGTGTCTTTTGAAGGTTAGGGCTAAATGAAAATCATATGGATTTAATATGTGTCAGCCTACGAACATGTCAGCCCAACTGTTAGTTAATAATCCTTAAAAATAAACTTTATTTAATCAAATAACCAGTTCTAAATTTTAGGATTTTTAATTATCTAATAATGCTGCCTTTTAACTTATAAGGGAAATATTTTTACTTTGAAATATGATATGCATATAAGTTGTACGTACACGGGTAGCATTGAAAATCAATGAAATAACTGAAAGAATTTTAGTTTATTCGATTTGTATAACATTTAGGTAAAAGTTTAACTTAATTATTTTTAATTGATTTTCTTTGATTTTTCTAATTGATTTTCTTAATGAAATTTCTTCTAGATCGAGCAATTTACAGAAAAGCTAAACAACTTGAATGCCATCTTCTTCAAATCAATAGCGCAGCTGGACACATCAAAAATGCATCCACCGATCCCATGACGAGAGCTCTGAAGGCATACAAGGATGGTGATATGAGCATGCCACAGAAGTATCTGAGGAAATTCAGATCGCTGCAACAAGAAATAGTAAGAGATATACGATAATACATGAAATTTTATTCGTGCCAATCCAATACACTCTCACTCAGGAATTAGAAAAGAAAAATAAAACCTTTGTTTAACTTTTGTTGGAGAACCCTTGTTTATCCTTATTATCATTAAATACTATATTTATGTTGTTGTTGTTACATATCACACTTGGCTGGCCAAGCCCACTAGCCCATACGTACTCATGATTGAAGGGGAAGAAAGCAGCTTCTGTTGTGATGGAGCAACCCGCAGGTAGAAGTCTGACTTTGGCTCCGTGACGCTCGTACAGTCATAGGAGACCGGACCTACGGCTTAAAGTGGATTCCAAACCACTACAAACATCCATGGCACCGCCGAGATTGAACCCGAAACCTGTTGGCACCGAGCGCCAGAGCGCTAGACACTCGGCCATTCAGGTCCGAAATTTGTGAATGCCAACGGCCCGCGGTGTTCCCAGGTGGTCACCCACCCAAGTACTAACGCGTCCAATGACGCTTTGACTTCGGTGATCTAACGAGAACCGGTATATTCAGCATGGTATAGCCGTTGGCCGTTGACTATATTTATTACTACCATATGCGAGTAAAAAACACAAAGTTTGATAATGTCATATTATACGTTATAGTGTTTTTTTTTTTTTTATGATGTAAAATATAATATTTTTTTATTCTTTTTAACATTATCACTGGAATTTCAATGATTTGCATTTTTTATTAAATTATGTTGTTTAAATCATTTCTTGCTATAATATCAAATTAATCAAGCACAACGTATTTTGAACCAAATTTATTTATTTATAAACAGTTTTAAATGAAAAATTTTCTAGATGATGAAAATAGCATATTAAAACTTTTTTTTTGCAAAATTACTGTTTAAGCCAACGACTTCAAATAAATTGGGCCTGAATGGCCGAGTGGCTAGCGCTCTGGCGCTCGGTACCACTGGTTTCGGGTTCGAGTCCCGGCGGTGTCATGGATGTTTGCAGTGGTTCTGAATCCTCTTTAAACCGTAGGTCCTGGTCCTAATAGGATCATAGAGCGTTTGGGGGCGTTGTTACTCCGCGTCCGTGGCTTATCTTCAAGTTACACGCGCCCCTGGGTAATGCAAAGTGAGTAACGTCTTGTAGTCTTGGATGCCTTAAGGCATCCAAGACTGAGTGTATAAGTGTTTGCCACCTGCATTAGAAAATAAAATAAACATTTTTAAATGAAAAATTTTCTAGATGATGAAAATATCGTATTAAAATTTTTTTTTTGCAAAATTACTGCTTTAGCCAACGACTTTAAATAAATTATGACATAGCAAAATTTAAAAAAAAAAAAATTACTATTTTTATGATAATCTCTTCCAGAAAAATAACTATCCAATAATAATAACTTTCTAATATTAAAATAACTTTTAATAATGCTTATTTATATATTAATTAGATATGTTATTATATTTAAAACATATATTATTTTAAAATTTTATTAATATGTTTCAAAATACACATGATTATATTTTAAATAAATAAAAAAACTAACAATGTTCATTTTTTTTTTTTTCAGTACAGAGACCACCCAGGTTAGTAGATTTTATTACTTAAGTTACTCTATAACTTAGAGTTTCTAACAATTGTGAATATTTGGATGTTTTTATGTATTAAAATAATAATTAGAATATACACTCAAAGCCAAAACATTATGACCACCCATACATTTTTGCAATGAACTCGCCTGGATGACGTGGAAGGTACGTGATCAGGTGGAAAGGGTATTTAACTGCTGCTGGAGGTGTGAAGAATCATTCTTTCACTTACTTCTGTGTGTGTGATGGGAAAGGCTGCGGATCTAAGCGACTTTGATAGAGGGCAGATTGTAATGGCTCGAAGGCTCGGAACAAGTATTTCCGAAACTGCACGACTCGTGGGTTGTTCGCGATCTACAGTTGTTAGTACTTATGCAAAGTGGATGAATGACGGTGAAACCAGCAGTAGACAACATGGTGTTGGACGTCCACACGCTATCAAAGAAAAGGTCGTCGGAGACTGTCTGGCATGGTGGAGCAAAACCAGGAGCCAGACAGTGGCTCAGCTGACAGCCCAATGCAATGCAGGGCCAAGTAGAATAGTATCGGAGCACACTGTTCAGCGGACACTGTTGGATATGGGGCTACGCAGCAAACGTCCCACTCGCGTGCCTTTGCTGACCAAGCGTCATTGCCATCTGCGCCTGCGCTGGGCCCGGGAACATCGTGACTGGCCCGTGGATCAGTGGGAGAGAGTTGCCTGGTCAGATGAATCACGGTTTTTTCATTCATCACGCCGATGGCCGTGTCAGGATACGCCGTCTTCCAGGCGAACAGTTGCTCCCTCAATGTACAGTAGGTCATATACAGGCCGGTGGTGGCGGTATTATGCTTTGGGGGACGTTCTCTTGGGCGTCTCTGGGACCCGTGGTTGTGGTAGAGCAGACCATGAATCCTACAGGGTATCTGAACATCATTGCGGACCAGTTGCTTGAATTACATGGCCTCTGTTTTCCAGCTGGAAATGGAATGTTCCAACAGGACAGCACCCCTTGTCACAAGGCTAAAATTGTGTTGGAGTGGTTCCAGGAACATGATGTTGAATTCAGTTAATGTCCTGGTCGCCTAACTGACCGTATCTCTATCTGATGGATTTACATTTGGGATGTCCTGGGACGGCAGCTCAGAGTTCAAAGACCAGCAATTCGCAATATCTCAGTTTGCGTGACCGTTTTAAACATCTGGTACAATCTGTCTCCGGCCATCTACCAAGGACTTGTGGCATCCATGCCAAGGCGGATGGAAGCTGTGTTGCGTGCCAAGATGGGCCAACTCGTTATTGAAGGTGGTCATAATGTTTTGGCTCTTAGTATATATACTAAATTACAGAACTAAATGTGGACAGAAAAACAGCTACTGCTTTCACAAGATTAAGGACGATTCACCACAAAAATATGAAAATTTCTGCATTGAGGACGTTAAAAAATATGATGATGGCGAGATTACTCCTCATCATATCTTTGATTGCCAACTTGATTGCCATGCATCGTCTGGGCTCTCCCTCGGAAAAGGATTTATACTCCGAGCTGGCAATCAGCACAGCTCTTATTATTCTTGAACACCACGATATTTGATTTTCTTGTATTCTTCAGGGAATACGACAACAACAAATGCAATTCGTTTAGGAAACAAACAATTACAATTAATCATAGTTAAAAATTATTCATAGATTTGAAAAATAAATAACGACCACAATTTTTTTTTTTTTGACATTAATATTAGCTATTCACTTCAAGTTAATGCTTCATTACGATAAGTTCTTCAGATATCACAAAAGCTATTCGATACTGTAGTGAAAGATATGCACATTATGCAGAGATAATGCTTTCAGTTCTAGTAAATAGTGTCTTATATTTGCAAACGGAAGTTACCTTGTAGATTACCCATCTATAAATATTGTGCACTTATTATACAATCATGTCCATAAATTAAGGATAAGGAAGTTGAGGCAAAAAAGAGAGACAGAAGCAAAACAAATTTGACTTATTTGTAAAGTCTATTTATTAAACAAAAGGTAATTAAATATGGACTCGTAAAAACATCACACAAGACCACTGTTGCGGTGTCCACAAAGCATGCTCTCTACTCAGGTTAATCGCAAGCGACAGTGAGTTAAAAAGTGGAACACATCTGACAGGCCTACGAGGATATGAACCAATGTGCCCCTAAAAAAAGCGTCTGTACACGGTCTGCTTTGAAATTGCCGTACCGGTAGCTGAAGAGAGCTGACGAGACTTAGGTCTGATGCTGGAGCCTGACAGCCTGGAAGATGACACTCTGGGCGATTCCGTTCTTCGGATACTTCCAGCTGGGTACGTCCACATTCCAGTCGTCCGATAATTCTACCACGTAAAAAATCAACCAAATGCTTCCTTTGTGCCATAACTATGCGGTTATTGCACTGAAAGGCTTTTAACGCGCTTGTGAACAATTTTTACTTCTTTGCCACCATTCCTTATATACCCCTCTCTTACACTCTCGTCATTGTGACATACTATCCGCGCCATCTAGTGGTTTCCTGTAATTTGCATATTCTTCTTCAAGATGTGTATGATAATTCTACAGGTGAAATTTTTTATTTTAGAGTTCAATTTCTATGTGATTCTGAATTATCCTTAATTTATGGACATGAGTGTATTTGCAAGTAATTACGCTAATGCTATATATAGAAATGCTGTGGAGTTCTAAAATTTAGGGTTTTTAATTATCTAATAATGCTGTCTTTTAACTTATAAGGTAAATATTTTTATTTTGAGATATGATATGCATATAAGTTGTACATACACTGGGTAGCATTGAAAATCAATGAAATAACTGAAAGAATTTTAGTTTATTCGATTTGTATAACATTTAGGTAAAAGTTTAACTTAGTTACTTTTAAATGTAAAAAAAAAAAAAAAAATTCTATATTTTAAGCATAGTTCAGATTACAATATATTTACCATTTTACATGTGCTACATATATTCTGGATGCGTAACATTTGATAAATTTAAAGACTTAGCCAACTTTATAACTAAGACGTTATATAGTATGCCTATAATTTTCAAATGGATGATATCGTAGTCCAAATTTTTAATTGACTATACTGATAATATTTGACGCAATTCATACAGGAGTTATTTAATAAATTAATAAGAACAATTAAATGAAAAGGGCATGAATATAAATGCACGTTATTTTTTTTCAATTCCTACTATTAGTTCTCACTCTCCGTATGTATATCTTGTTCAAATTTTCAATCTTCATAAAATACTTTTTATTCATCCATTCAAGTTCAAATACATTTTTTAAACATGTAATGTATGACACCGGATGTTAATACAGTTTTTTTTTTTCAAATATTAATTCGGTAATTAAATTTAATTAATTAATTTCAGTTTTATATGGGAAAAAAATGTCTCTTATATAAGATATTTAGCAGAATATAAATTTAGGAATTAATGCGTCAGTGGCGAAGCGTTTAGATCGCTGGAAAAAAAATTCTTTTTCAGATTCTTTTTTCATTCTGTGTTCTAGTATGAGTCAAGGAAGGAACAAAATGGAAAATGAAACATGTGAATAAATGAGTGAGAGAGATGGAAAGTGTGTATGTGAGAGAGAGAGAGAATTTTTTCTAACTTAAAAAAAAAAAATGTATGATAATTATTTATAAAGGACTTTCTTCAATATAGTGAAAAAAAAAATTAGGAATTGACTTTTAAAAAAAAATTTTTTTATTACTTGTTTTCAATCAGAGCTAAAACCTAGAATAGGAGGAGCTTTTTCAACCATTGGGGCAGATCCAAATGCGAGAGTTCAGAAACGGAAACTGTGCTTTCCGGCGTGATGTCTTCTTCCCAGAGCGGACAGAACGGAGGATCGAGCAATTTCATCTGCTCTCCTTTTAATCCTGAAGATCCAGACCCCAAAGAATATTTCCCCAAATATGACCCGGAAGACGAAGATCAACGCATGGACAACCTTCTTGTCAGTCCAATCAAG